AGGCAAATTGGTTTATAGTCTTAAGGCCCAAGTGGTATAACTGTCAGTCTATAATGGAAAGTTAGTTATAGAGTGAGTGCTGCTGCTATGAGTCTCAAAGTTCCGAGGACTGGGGAGCCTGTAGTTCTGATGTCCAAGCACAGAAGGAGAACAACACTCTGGTTCTGAAAGAAAGAGTAAGAATTCCTACTTGCTTTGTCCCTTTGCTTTGTCTTTTGATTTAGACCCCAGCCATTTTGTATGGTGCATATACATACTAAGGGTGCAATCTGCCCACTCAGCAATCAACTCAAATCTATTGTCCTCTGAAAATTCTCAGATGACTCACCGTGATGAATCATTACTTCTAATCAAATGTCAGGCCACCTGGGTTTCTCCTTCAGTGGAAAAAGGATGGGGTGGGGCTAGGAAGGTGGCTCAGTAGTAGAGCGCTTGCCTTGCATGCATGAGGCCCTGGGTTCAATTCCTCAGCACCACATAAGCAAAAAGAATAAAGCCGGAAGTGGCGCTGTGGCTCAAGTGGTAGAGCGCTAGCCTTGAGCTAAAGAGCTGAGGGACAGTGCCCAGACCCAGAGTTCAGGCCCACGACCGGACCCCCCAAAAAAGGGATGGGGTTATTGTCTACTGGAGTTTGAGAAGAATTCATGTAATTATCGAAAATAAGTACACAAATGCTTTACCAGTTGTGAGTGGTCCTTAATTCAGTTGGACAACTATACTCAGTCATCATATTGGAATCAGGTAACTGAAGTCAGAGTAGATGACAGGGTGAATGAGATGAGAAATACATGAGTCAGAAATAATTACAAGATAATTCTACTAGAAAAAAGATACTGCAATGACTTTAAACGATCATGATCATGATGAAAGATGAAAGGAGAATATTGGTAAGATATTCCACATACAAAATGCCAGAAAGTTCCCATGAAACAAGGTGAGAAAAAGTAAAGAATAAGAGATGACTGAGGCCTTGGGGCTGGCAGACTAAAATGATGATTTCTATTCAGGTCATGCCACAGTTTATAAGCCCTTTCACAATTGCTTTTTTCCATTGTCTCAACAATCATGTGAGCAATTAATACAAATTAAGTAGCAAAGATTTTATATAGTAATTTTAAAAGGTGCAGATCACTAGTAAATAGCTTTTTTGTAAGATGCTTTTCCTTATAAAATAGAACATGACTTGTGTTTTCCTCTTCAAATGTATTTTATTTTTGTCTACTTATATTGTCTTTATAAGTAAAGAGAAATGTGGGCTGATGAATGGACTTTTGCCCCTCTAATTCAATGGGCATGGTATAATAGATTGTTTTTCTATGTCTCTGTAGTTTAGATAGTACTCCATAGACTTTAATATCATACGAAGTAGATGAGGATCCTAAAAAAATGAAGACTCTTGGATGGTACCTGCAATTTTGCGATTCTAATAATCTCGCTGGTGATATTAATGGAAGATATTTTGACTAGAAAAAAAGTAAAGTTAAACACACACGCAACCTTGAAGAGGTTTTGCTTAAGCAGGTGTGCCATTCTGAGATGCTAATAATGTATTTGATTTCAATTTTAAAATTTCAGTGGTTTTCTTGCTGGTTTCAAGATACTGCCAATTTTTGTATATGTATTTTTTTCCTCAGCAATGTAACCCCCATTCCATTTCTGTCTTTGTTGGAAAGCAGACCCTGAAAGGCTTCAAAACATGTCAATGGTCTTTTTCAAGAAGAGCTCTCATAAAGAACCATTTCATTGTTAGTTGTTCATTAATAGTTCTCTTACTGACAGCTTGGATGCAAGCCTCTTAATTTTGCAAGTATTTTTAAATTAAAATCACTTCCAAAGCATTTCAAATACTTCTGGCAATAAGGTCTGCTTGGAAGGAGAATTCTTAACTCTCCTCCCACAGGTCTTTTCTCTTATGATTCCATAGCCTTGTGGGTTTCCTTAATAGTTCGACATTCCACAATCTAATCCATGTGTGTTGAAAGATATCTGAAATCATTGACATGCCTCAGGGTTTTAGGATTAAACAACTACCAGCTTTGCCTTTATGTAATTTGACTCAAAGAGGTGATCTATTTAGTTCTATCTAAAAAAAAATCTTCTTTTTTCTCCTTCTCCATCTTTCCATTCCTTCTTAGAGGAAATCCATTTAAGGTTTGGACATATTTTTCAAGGATCATATTTTCATCTGTGTGGAAGTTTCCCCAAGCCAAACTGCAAGAGGTTTACAATACCTCTTTGTGTACATGACAAGAGGGTAATCTTGAATGTAACAGTTGATTTTTATGAGATTTGTTTATGAGTTGATTATGGGAAAAACTCAGTTACCCTGGAGCAAGAAAAGATCATGCTTGCTAAAGGCTCTTTCATTTTCTATATGTGGGGCAGATGACTGCGATATGTGGAAAGTTTAGACTAACTTGCAATGGCACTATTCTCTCAAAAAAAATGGAAGGATTGTAGAGCAAAGAGTATCTAATCTATCTTATTTAATTGAGGAATCTTTAATACTACATCCTTGAGATTCACTTAAGGCACACTTAGTACTTTCCAAAGGCTTGAGACCCTAGCTGGACAGCTCCAGTTAACAGCTGCAAGCAAACACGTGTCTTCCCTCCAGTTGCTCTGATGTTTCCTGTTATTCTTGCTCCTACGTGTTCTTGCATTTCCAATGTTACTGGGTTAATTAATTCCTTTCTAAAGCTTTCAGTATTGCAACGGGAGCTCTCCTAAAATGATTTCACTTTACTTAGAAACTCACAACTCCTTAAAATATGGCAAAAGTTGAATTTGGATACAGATCATGACTGAGTATGTATCTCACTTCTTTATGTTGAACATCGGAGGCATTTCTAACACCTTATTGCCCTATTAAGGAATCTGATATCTATCTCACCACAGAGCAGACCTTTTTCCCCCTCTGTTTTTTAATGCATCAATGAAGAGTTAAATGGCATTCATTAGGCCACACGTACTGCTGGTGATCCAACTGGGAATATATCCTAGGAAACTTGGTTCCCAGTACAGTGTACCACATGATCATCATTCCTGGTGATTGTAAATTCACTTTATGCCTCTCCTGCTGAAACCTGCAGATGACAATCCCATTAGCTACTGAACAAGTCAGTCTCTATTAAGTATGTTTCTAAACTGAGAAATGCGTGTTTTGCAGGATACCTAGTGCTACAGACGTCAAATGTTAGTAAAAGCATAGCACTTTAGACTTTTGCATATAGAGGCAAATAATTACATCCTTGGTTCTTGCTTTGCTTAACACTGCTTTGGCTCCAATGGCACACTCCTAACCAGGTACTTCTGGTGTTTGGTGGCTGAACCTGCTGCTGAAATCTTGGTTTTGTGCCCTCCAATATTCTTCCTGGGAAGCTCAGATACTCTGCTTAGCATTTTTTTCTATATGTTTCTAAACCTGAAACAGATGTTATTCTGGCTTCTGTCATTTGCTGTAAGCTTCTATACTCACATTTTTACATTCAGCAGGTAAAAGGCAGGTACTTTTCAGACATTATTCTGTTACAGAAAGAAAGGAATGGCAGGGAAGGTGAAATAGAGGAGAGGAAAATAATATATAAATTACAGAACTAAAGGCACATGGAGACAGTACCGTCACTTGAGTCTCTCTTACTCTAATATCATATGCTATACTTTGGCTACTACTGATTTGCCTGATATTCCTTTGGAATCAATTTTGTGGCCACCAGATTAGCTATGTGAGCTGATCTCTTGATTTAATATCAACTTATTTTTTTCAGCTCCTATATCATTTACTTTCTCTAAAAAAAACAAAAAAAACAAAAGTGTTCTGCCTTTTACTCAGCCATCTGTATTTTCAAGAACCCAGTCTTTCCTGCCTTTCTCTCTCTTTCTTTATCCTTCCTTCCTTCCTTTCTTTTTTCTTTCTTTCTTTTTCTTTTTTCCTTCTTCCTTCTTTCTTTTCTTCATTTTGCATGGGAACCAGGAACTATAAAACATTTAATGAGAAAAAAATTAACCACTCACAGAAAAGGTGGAAGCCCAGAAAAAAAGCTAAATAAAAAAAAACTAAAAATGAGATTTGTCTTTTATGGTTTGTACTTTGTATGTTGTGGGTGTGACTCAATTTCCACACCACCCACATGAAAAAGTTGCCACCCAATCACTGTTTTTTTTTTCTCTTTTCTATCCAAAAACCCTCCCCTTTGATTTTGGCTAGGAGAGACCCTAAGAAAGACTGCCCTTTCTGGATGTTATAAACTGTGACATATAAAAGCTGTTAGCTGCTCCTGTAGCCAGCAGCATTCAAACCCTGCAGGCTTTTGCTCTCTGAGAACTTGTAATAAGACACACTCCTCTTACAAGAGTTCATGCTACAACATAACAAAGAACTTTAAACTTTTGGAAGAACAGTATATTCATTTTGGCATTGTGCAGAGGTAAGCTATTTGGCTCAACAAGTTTATATTGCATGCATTGAACTTAAAGTAGCTCATTTTTTTTTTAGAAAGGAGACTGAATTACTAAACTGTTTTTGTATGAGATCTATCATTTGTGTACATGAATATCTAGGAGACATGATCAGTCCATTCTCTGTTGTTGCCTGTTATGCATTTTCACTTTCAGGGTAGACTTGAATTCCTAAAGATTTCCCACTGAAAACAAATGTGCAGCAATACATTTAGTATGTTAAACTGTCAGTGGCAAGTAATTTAGATTCATGTTAGGGTTAGTAGTCATACTATTTATTTTTCCTTTGGCTCTAGAAAGTTCTTCTGAAGTGTCTGCCTGGGAACACAGCAAAAGGAATAGAGATTTTACAATAGGTTCTGCTAGAGGTTTTACTATGGGAGTCAATGCTGTTTTTTTCTTTTTGTTTTTTGTTTATTTTTTAAGAAAGCCAAATCAAGCAGTGCTCCCAAATGCTAGCTATGATTTTATATCTTCTAGTCTCATTTCTTGTCTCAAAGAACCTAATTTCTACCTTTTTTCTTTAAAGTAAATTTGGTGGCATCTGGTTTTGCACCCCTCAAAAATGATAGCAATCTCTGCTGTCAGTCGTGCTCTCCTGTTGTCCCTGCTCTGTGAAGCAAGTGCAGTCGTCTTACTCAACTCCACTGACTCATCTCCGCCAACCAATAATTTCACTGATACTGAAGCCGCTCTGAGCGCACCACTAGACTCTGCGGATATTCCCAAAGCCAGGCGGAAGCGCTACATTTCGCAGAACGACATGATCGCCATTCTTGATTATCATAATCAAGTTCGGGGTAAAGTGTTTCCACCAGCAGCAAACATGGAATACATGGTAAGAAGCATTCTTCTTGTTGTTGAGTCCTGAATGAGGAAACTTTGATTTGTATGTTAAAAGGACCACAAATGTTTGTGTGGCAAGAAACATGGGGTTTGCATGTGTTAAGTGAGCTACATACTGTGTCCATCGGAGAAGTAAAGTGTGTGTATTTGTGTGTGAAAGAGAGACAGAGACAGAAAAAGACAGAGACGGAGGTGGAGGGATAGAGAGGAGATGGGTGGGAGAGAGGTATGAGAGATAGGTTTAGGAGAGAGAGACAAAGAGAGACAGAGACAGATGGGGAGGGGGAGACAGAGAGGCAGAGAGGGGGGAACAGTGTGGAGGAAAGGGAGAAAAAGGAAGATCAACATGAATTTTTCTTCAGTGAGTTCTACAAGTACAGTTGAACTACCTTATATATAATGACATAGATAAAGAACAGAATATGTTACCTGACCACATTTGGAATATCTACTTTTTTTATAGAAGAAACTCAGAACTTTTCTGTTTTCTGAATCCAATAGTCTTATTTATCAGCTAACACATGTTTTGAAAATATTTCTTGAAAAGATAGGTTTCATGTGGATGATTTACTCCTGGGTAGGTGTGTCTTCCCTTTCTTGGGCAAACCTCTTATGGTATTTGTATTCTAAGAGAACAACGTGCTGAGTCTTTCTTCTTGTGATTTAATGTTTTGTCCTGCAGATAACTATGGCAAGGCTGGAGTGTTTACACTACGTTCCCACTAGCCATGGACACATTCTTTGCTCTATCTTAAAAATAGCCTATGTTTAAACCATTTCCCTTGGAAAGCAAAATCTTAAGTTTGTATTAAAGGAAAGGAGTTTTGTGAAAGTTTATTTTGGGTTTTGAATTGATTGGGGTTATGAGTTAAAGTCCTGTACTTTACAAGAACACAGTCCGCAGCTGGTAGAAGGCAATGAAGACCACTAACATGGAATTTCCTAATTGTGGTGGGGGAAGGTGGTACCACACATAATTTCAATCATGCTGTAGATCCATCTGTTTTATATAAATAAACATTTTGAATTTGACCAATTGTTGATGCCAGTGTCAGAGAAAAAGAAACAGACTTGCCAAATAATCTAAAGGAGTCACCATTCATAGAAGTCCAATTTAGATTCTGAAAACACATTTTGCACAGAATTATTAAGGAAAAAGATTCACTCTGACCTTCTAGGTGAAGAGTAATATGATCTTCTGATTAAGAGTAGTAGTTTTGGAGTGTTAATGTTTGGGCTCAAATCATAGTCCTGGAATATAAACTGGACAAATTCTTTTTAATATGCTTTTTATTGTAAAAATACTGTACAGAGGGGTTATAGTTATATGAGTAAAGTAATGAGTACATTTCTTATTGAGCATTGTTAGCTCCTCCTTTGTTTTTCCCCTACCATCCCTTCTCTCCCCACCACCGGAACTCCTCACCCCCCACCTCGAAGTTTTCAACAGTGTCTTGTACATCACATTGTTACAATGGGTCAACTTGTATTCTTATTTAAGCATTTTATTATTTCCCTTCCCTTCCTCAAGTTATAAAAATGTATATATAAGATGCTAGGCACCGGAATCAAATACAGTGAAAACAGAGGTTATACTGTGGGGGGAAGAACATACAAAAGAAACAAAAAAATCACATAATACATTATAAATACATTAAAAACAATAGCAAGAAAGAAAAAAAACCACTTGTGTCCTTATCTTGGGGTTCATTTCGCTTAACATTATCTTATATGGTCATATGTACATAGCTTTTGCCCTTTTCTGTTTGTTCTAGACATATACTAGTTATTGCAAATAAGGGAAACCAAGGGACCTATTTCTTGGGCCTGGCTTACTTCACTTAATATAATTTTTTCCAAGTCTTTCCACTTCCTTACAAATGGGGCAATGTCATTCTTTCTGATGGAGGCATAGAATTCTAGTGTGTGTGTGTGTGTGTGTGTGTGTGTGTGTATAACATTTTCTTTTTTTAAATAAGTTTTTTATTGTGAAAATACTGTAAAGAGGGATTACAATCACATGAGCAAGGTAATGAGTACATTTTTTATCAAGCATTGTTGCCTCCTCCTTTGTTTTTTCCCTACCATCCTTTCCCTCCCATCTCCACAACTACATTCCCTACTCCCCACCCCCGCCTAAATTGCAAAGTTTGTTTTTTGACATAATGTCTTGTACATCTCATTGGTGCAATGGGTCAACCTGTCTCCCTATTTAAACAATTTGTTTTTTTCCCTTCCACTCCCCAAATTATACCAACATTAAATACAGTGAAGACAGGGGTTATACCATGGGGGAGGAACATACAAAGCAAAAAAAAATCACATGGTACCTCCTAAGTACGTTAGAAACAATAGCAAGCAAGAAAAAAAACACTTGTGTCCTTATCTTGGGGTTCATTTTGCTTAACATCATCTTATCTGACCTTTACTGCTTGTCTCAGATATATACTGGTTATTGCAAATAAGGGAAACTATGGGACCTATTTCTTTGGGTCTGGCTTACTTCACTTAATATGATTTTTTCCAAGTCTTTCCATTTCCTAACAAATGGGGCAACGTCATTCTTTCTGATGGAAGCATAGAATTCCACTGTGTGTATATATATACCACATTTTCTTGATCCATTCATCTATTGAGGGGCATCTGGGCTGGTTCCATATTGTAGCTATAGAGAATAATGCTGCAATAAACATAGTTGTGCTGGTAGCTTTAGTACAGCCTTGTTTGTGATTGTTTGGGTAAATGCTAAACTGGGCAAATTCTTTATTGTGTTTCACTGTTACCATTTCCAAGAAAAGGATAATTGCAGTATCTCCCAAATTGGATTGCTGTGAACAATGTGTAAGTTGAGGAGTAATTATGCCAGACCTACAGATTAATTGATGTTGAATAAATGTTAGCTTTTAATTGGTTTCTTCAAGCTTTCTGTGGAAGATGCCCAATGAAAACACATTTGAGGTCTTAAAATAGAACAATTAACCATTCAGAGAGGTGTCTCTAGGAGACAATGAAGATATGTAAGGAAAAGAGGAACAAGTACTTCTTAAAATTGCTACAGATTGGGCTGGGAAGGTGGCTAAGTGGTAGAGCGCTTGCCTTGCACACATGAGGCCCTGGGTTTGATTCCTCAGCACCACATAAGCAAAAAGAAAAAAGCCAGAAGTGGCGCTGTGGCTCAAGTGGTAGAGTGCTAGCCTTGAGCTGAAGAGCTGAGGGATAGCACCCAGGCCCAGAGTTCAGGCCCCACTACCGAACCCCCCCCCAAAAAAAAATTGCTACAGATTATGAAGAAACTTGCATTGGCTTGAGTTCAGAAAGGCAAAGAACTTGGCTTGCATGATTAGGGAACTTCCTGTCATAGACCACAATGTTAAGCTCCCTAAGGTGAAGACCAAGACCTCTGGGCCAACTTTGAAGGCAAGTTTACTCTACTCCTATTAATTATAATATTATGACTATGCTATCCACTTACAGCCTTGCATGCATTTACTTGGTGTATCTAAGATCCATTTGGAATTATAGGAGACATAGAAACCTAGGAATATATAGTGCAGTTCACTATTTAATGACATTGAGGGTAGAGGGGTCACCATGAGTTAAGTCACAGGTGAGTGCAGTACAGTAGAAACAGGTTGAATAGATACATTGATCTAGTTGTATTTCCTCCAACTTATCAAGAACTAATCCATTTCATATGCACTCAATTCCTTCTCTGCTAAGGCCTTGACTAATTGGTTCCATAGATGATCTCATTTGGTAGTTCACATACTCTTTATGAGGTGGAGATTGTTATCCTCCTTGTACAAATGAAATCTCTTAAACTGGGTGCTGGTAGCTCATGCCTATAATCCTAGCTACTCAAGAGGCTGAGATTTTAGTATCTTTGTTCAAAGCCAGACTAGGCAGGAAACTTGGTGAGACTCTTGTCTCCAATAAACTACTCAAAAAAAAATCCAGAAGTGGAGGTGTGGCTCAAGTGGTAGAATGCTTGCCTTGAGCAAAAGAAGCTCAGGGACAGCACCCAGGCCCAGAGTTCAAGCCTAAGAACTGGCAAAAAAAAGAAAAAGAAAAAGAAAAAGAAATCTCTTAGACTCAGAGAAGTTAATGACGAAGCCAAGGTGGTATGATAATGAATGGCATTCCTGGGATTAGAATTTCAGTCTAGAATTCCAAAGGTCCAGGCTCATGCTTGGAAACATCATTTTCATTGGATAGATCTAAAAATGCCCACTGGAGATGTGAGGCTTCATTTTCTTTCTTAAAATGCCAGGAGAAGGACTAGAGAGGCATGGCTCAAGTATAGAGTCCCTGAATAGCAAGCGTGAAGCCATGAGTTCAAACCCCATGACTTCCAAAACACAATAACCACAAAAAGAATCAAAATACATAGGGGAAATTCTATAAATATATTCTATTTGTCAATCCCTTGTTATTATTCTCTTAGCTATCAGAACCCTTACATATGGCTTATTTTTAGAGTAACTAGAAACCATAGCATTATAGATATTTATACATTTTCCTTCATTCAGTGAAAGTAATGAGAATAGTAAGTTCTATCCAGCAAAATATAGGCTCTCAGATATCCCTGTAAATGCTAAGCATACAGTCCACTTTTCTTTATTTTTTATTTCTTTAATATTTGTTGAGCATTTTCTATATATTGTTACTATCTTACATATTGGGTATGCATTCATGAATAAGAGAGACAGATATACTTGTCCCATGCGTGGGAATAGACAATAAACCACATAAATAAATTACATAGTATGCTCAAAGATGAAAGGTTATGAAAAAAATAAAGTGAGTTTGGTGAGGCTTCAGTACATTGTATGGCTTCAGAAAAAACTCAGTGAGACTGGCCTGTAGAAAATTAAAGGAATAAGCCACACTAATACATGAGAGAAAGGCAGATGAAAGAGCAAAGACCCAGAGGTGGGAGAAAATTGATTAGTTCCATTAGAAAAATCGATTCACGGTAGTGACTTTTTGTTT